AGTTGATGTGGTTGGGTGCTCTGGTGGAGAGATGGTGACTTGCAGTGCTGGTGTAGAGATGGGTTGGACCTCTGATGCAGGTTCCCCCTGAGTATCAGAGATCTGTAGTGCAGCTCCTTCTTGGGCATCAGCCAACTCTGATGCTGGTTCCCCCTGAGGTGCTGAAACCTTGGGAGGAGAGTTGACCTTCTTCTTCTTCTTCTTTTGCATTCTGATAGGAGAAGTAGAAGCATCAGAATCACTCTGAATAATTGCTTTTCTTCTCCTCTTCTGCCTCAAAGTTTTGACAGGTACCACATCTGATGCACCCTCCTCTGATGCATCCTTCTCAGGTGTTACCTCCTGCTGCTTCTGAGACTTTTTCTTGGAAACAGCTTTTGACTTAGCAGCCAAGTTTTCTCTTTTCTCTTCTAGCTTTTGTTCTCTTTTCAGTTCCGCAGCCACAGCGATATGTAGCTTCGGAGAAGCAGTGAGAAAAACCAGTTTTGAGTGATCAATTTTGGAGGGGTTCCTGAGTTCCACCCCTTGAGCAGTGATAGCCTTTGAAATGAGAAGACCATGACCCATCTTTGTTGAGAATAGGCCAGTCTTCTTGTCTTTTTTCTCCACTGACTCTGAGATGGATTTGAACAGCACTCTTCCCCAGTTAATGTTCATACCACGATGAACTGCATAGATTGCCTTAGCATTTGCATTGTTCATCTGGTCAGTTGAACCGGTTTTGCACCACAGACAACGGTGCATAATACTCATCAGGCGCTCATAATCCTTCTTGAGCAGATTCTTTTTCATGTATAGCTTATCTACTCCGGTGACTTCTGGCCGGCAGTAGGTGTCCACGAAAGCTTCGATGGAGACGTCCACTGTGTCAAGATCGATAAGAAAGGGAGTATTCTTATCTTGGGAGTCGAGTTGGATGCCGAAGAACTCGTTGAGAGCGTCAGCATCGATCTTTAAGCTTTTCCCTTGCACTTGGGAATGGATGATGTTGTTGCTGATGTGAGCATTGAGGTAGAACTCAGCCACATCAAGATTACTGAAGTGTTGGTAGGGATGAGCCACTATCTTGCTCAGTTGGGAGTCAATCATCCCTGCAATGACTGCCTTCATGGTTTTCTTGTTGTCGGCCAACAAAGGCAGAGAAGACATGTCTACCTTCATCCCCGTGACTATGTTGCTCACTAGGGCTTTAGCCTCAGTCTCAGAAAGATCTGTGATGTTGATGAACTTCATTGTTGTGTAGAGATTACGGAATTTTTGAGATATAGAAGTTTTGAGAGTTTCTGAGAGCTTGAATATTAAGAGAGATGAAATGCAATGGCGGTTTAGGTTTAGAAACTGAGTATATATGGGTTCGGGTTAGTGGACGTTTGATATAATTTGGGGTTTCGAGGTCGCATTTAATGGATTGTGGGCGGAAAGCCGTTTTCCAAATATGGTAATAACTACCGGGGGTAAAATAGTAAAACCCAGTTTATTGAATAGTCTCGCCCGAAATTTAGATAATTTTTCTAAGTCCACAGCCACTCTGATGAATAACCGTCCAAGTATCAGATGAGGGGTATTCTGATACTAGGTCTTCTCATATGAATTCCAGTGTCAGAGAAGGTGGTACTCTGATGGGTGGATCTCTGATCTTGTGCAACTCTGATTCGAGTTTCTCTAATGGATAAGAGCTCAGGTACCAGAGGTGGGGTGTTCTGATAAAAACCCACATCTGATTCGTCTGTAATTCTGATTCATACATCTCTGGGAATATCATCCATCATTCCCAGTTCTTCCCTTAGCTTGTTAAACCTTGCCTCAGAGAGAGGTTTGGTCAGGATATCTGCAAGCTGGTCTTCAGTTGGAATATGCTCAATTGAAATGTGCTTCTTCTCCACATGATCTCTGATGAAATGATGTCTGATCTCAATGTGCTTGGTCCTGGAATGCAACACCGGGTTCTGAGTGATGGCAATAGCACTTGTATTGTCACACAGCAGCTTGATCTCCTTAGCTTGAATTCCATAATCCTTGAGTTGTTGCTTCATCCAGAGTAATTGAGCACAGCAGCTTCCAGCAGCAATATACTCAGCTTCAGCAGTGCTTGTTGAGATTGAATTCTGCTTCTTGCTAAACCAGGAGACAAGTCTCCCACCTAGCAATTGGCAATGACCAGAGGTGCTCTTTCTGTCTAATCTGCAACCTGCAAAATCTGAGTCAGAGTAACCAATTAGTTCAAAGTTACCTCCCTTGGGATACCATAGGCCTGCATTTGGATTTCCTTTGATATATCTGATGATCTTCTTAGCAGCAACCAAATGGCTCTCCTTGGGCTTTGATTGGTATCTGACGCAGATTCCCACAGCAAAAGCTATGTCTGGCCTGCTTGCAGTCAGATAGAGGAGAGATCCAATGATTCCTCTATATGTTGTAGCATCAACATCCTTTCCTTCATCTTCTGGTCCAATTCCTTGAGATGCATTCATAGGAATTTTGACTGATGATTTCCCATCTATTCCAAACTTCTTGATTAGATCTCTGGTGTACTTCCCTTGATTGATAAAGATTCCTTCAGGAACTTGTTTGACTTGCAGTCCTAGAAAATAGCTTAGTTCTCCCATCATGCTCATTTCAAACTTGCTCTGCATGACTTGAGAAAACTTCTTGCATAATTCTGGATTAGTGCTTCCAAATATAATATCATCAACATAGATTTGCACTAACAGAATATGATTAGCAACAGAAATTTGAAATAGAGTCTTGTCAACCTTTCCTTTAGTAAACCCATGATTTACTAAGAATAGGGACAATGTGTCATACCAAGCTCTGGGAGCTTGCTTAAGACCATAAATGTAACACCGTCCCCAAATATATTTACTTTTATGTAAATAATGTATTGAACCTTCTTAAAGAATTAATGAATTTACGAAGTTGTAAATTTTTATTATTTCTTTCGCGTGAATAGTAAATTGCACGTGGGACCCACACCGGGAGCGGGGGCCGCCCGACACTCCCGAGACCACATATTTTATTCATCTTAGTCAAGATAATATTTATATAGTGGTGGATATTTTATTTGGGTCGTGGAAAGGCGCAGAGTTGACCGATTGGGAAAAAGAGGTCCAATTACCGGTACCGATAATTTGTCAGATAACAGCCCGAACTGAATTTCGGAGGCTTATAAATTAAAGTTGGGGGATGTATATTCATTATACATGTAATAATGAGTAAGAGCACATAATATATTTTATTTGACCCGATAAAATAAAATATATTTAAAACAGTCCGAAAAATACAACTTTCGGGACCAATTGTACACACCGGGACACAAAGGGATGACCTCCCACATGAGTGGGGGCCACCCCACGTTTTTGTGTGCTCAAATTGACCAAAGGAAGGCCAATAGTACACATGATGGGAGGGTGAGACATTGAGAGACACCCAAGGGGTCCCTCTCTCACTTATTAGCTAAATGAGACAAAAACAACCCATCCCCCCTCCTTCCTCCTCATTGTGCTCGCCCAAGACCCCAAGAAAGAGGAAGAAAAAGCTCTCCAACCCTCCTCCATTGCTGCAACTCGAGCTCAACCAAGAAGGGTCCAAGGAGTGGGATTAAAGAAGGAAAAAGGCTAGGAAAAGTGTGTAAAATTAAGGTAATAACCTTATTATAACTTTTCCTTTATTTTCCTTCTATCATATGAGGTATATATCATGTAAAGGACCCTTAGTATGATTCCACATGTTATAAGTATGGATTTATGGGTTGGAAGGTGGTTCTATGTCCAAGAACGGACTTAGAAGCCAAAACGACCGGTTCACCGGAAAATAACCTTTTTGAGGTTATTGGTATTAACATGGGTTTTATGATTATAAAACCTTGTTAGGAACTTGTAAAGGGTGTTTCAAGTGATTTCACAAAGTTGGAAAAGTCGCCGGAATTGTCGCCGGAGTTGACCAAAAGTCGCCGGAGTTTCACCGGAGTTCAACCAAGAAGGGTAGAACTTCATACGCTAGTTCAAGGTGAGTGGACGGCTTAATATCTTATAACTTTTGGGTCAATTATGAGATTACCTAAATAAATGTTATATGAATTCATAATAATGTTTAAAAGATATTTAAACATGTGATTAGCCAATAGGGTTAAGCTTTGTATGAAAGGAATTAATTATTTATGCATGGAATATAATATGAGAAATTATATATATATATATGCATATTTGCTTTAAGAGTAAAAGAAGCACAAATGGATATTATTAACTTAATTATATGATGAATTAGTTAATAAGTGTAAGATTTGAGATGGCGGTCGACAACAACGTTGACCGATGGTTAATGGATTAATTAATATCGGTTGATGTTAGTTAATTATACATTTATATGGTTGCATGGATTTGCATGGATTGTGATGCATAAGCCTTATGTAGTGAATTAGTTATGAATGACTAAATATGATATAGACCCTATCTAGCGTGATATGTGGTAAGTCATAGGTCGGGTGGAGTACCCAAGGATCGGGCGGTTATCCTCAAAACTCGGTTATATAGGGTGGAGTACCCAAGGATCGGGCGGTATCCTCAAAACTCGGTTATATAGGGTGGAGTACCCAAGGATCGGGCGGTATCCTCAAAACTCGGTTATAGGGTGGAGTACCCAAGGATCGGGCGTGTATCCTCAAAACTCATAGATTACATTTAATGATCTAGGACCGGGCGGTGTCCTTATGATAATTTATTTGAACAGGGAGGAGTTCTATACACTCATAGGTATATGGGTGGGTTGGGATTTAGGTCAAGGACATTGGCTACTATTATTTTCCCAAATAAACAATGACCTACGGGTCGGGTATTTCCAAGTGTATGTATACTAATATGTATTTCAAACTTGGGGGAAGGACTATACGTATATGTATCATCCTATGTTTGGGTCTTATACTTGAAACGCTAGTTATTCTATATTTAGCCTGCTACTCGCTCGGTACTTGTACTGACCCCTTCGGGGGGCCCCACCATTTTCAGGTTGAAGCTAGGGCTTGCTACCTGCACCTTTTTACGGGTGACATCAAATCAAGGAAGACGTGGTTCGTGCTTCCTCATTTATTTCAAATTTCCAAACATTGCTCATGGATATTTTTATCTGTTATAAACTATTCTTTTGGGGCTTGCATGCCCATGTTATTGGCCGGTTGTGGCTTATGACTTACCGTTGAATATTTCCGCTATTCATTGGTTTAAATGTGATGTTGTTATGTATGTTTACTACTGAGTATGGATGGATTATTTTTCTCGAACGCCTTGTGTAATCAAGTGAGGTTGACTCGCGGGTGACGTCACTTGATTATACGGCGGTTGTACACGCGCTTGGATTGCGGTCTGGGGCGTGACAATAAAGGGCCTTTCTCAGCTTGTAGACACAAGAGGATTGAGTTGGATTGACAAAACCTGGAGGTTGTTCAACATATACTTCCTCTTCAAGTTCTCCATTCAGGAATGCACTCTTGACATCCATCTGGTAGACTTTGATGTTGTTGTATGCAGCATAGGCTAGAAATATCCTGATTGCTTCCAGTCTTGCAACAGGTGCAAATGTCTCATCAAAATCTATGCCTTCTTCTTGGCAGTATCCCTTTGCTACAAGCCTTGCTTTATTCCTTACAATGTTGCCTTCTTCATCTGCTTTGTTCTTGAATACCCATTTGGTACCAATGACATTCTGATGCTTTGGTCTAGGAACAAGTTCCCATACTTGATTCCTTTCAAACTGTGTGAGCTCTTCTTGCATTGCATTGATCCAATCTGAATCTTCTAGAGCTTCATCTACATTCATTGGCTCCATTTGAGAAATGCAGCAGGTGAACATGGCTTCTCTTCTGGATGCAGATCTGGTCCTTACTCCACTGGTAACTTGACCAATCACTTGATTAGGAGGATGATCTCTTAACCAAGTTAGATCAGGTTCTGATAGTTGCTGTCTAGGCAACTCTGATTGATCATCTTCTGAATCTTCATCTTCATCTTTGTCTTTCAGAATTGGATTAGCAGGAGGAGTTGAGAATACAGGATTGATAGTGACCTCTTCTGATGGTTCTGAGCTTTTGTCTTCAAGATTGATCTTCTGAAGGGTTTCTGATATTTCTTCAGCAGAGGTGCTATCATCAAACTTGACATGAATTGATTCTTCAACTTGTAGAGTTCTTCTGTTGAGTACTCTATAGGCTTTGCTTGAGTTTGAGTAGCCTAAGAATATACCTTCATCAGCTTTTTCTTGAAATACTTTCAGATTCTCCTTTCCATTGTTTAGAATGTAACACTTGCATCCAAACATATGGAAGTAGCTGATGTTTGGCTTTCTTCCTTTCCACAGCTCATAAGGGGTCTTCTGATGATACTTGTGGATCATGCTTCTATTTTGAGTATAGCATGCAGTGTTGATTGCTTCAACCCAGTATCTGATGGGTAACCCTGATTCTGCAATCATAGTTCTTGCAGCTTCCTTCAGTGTTCTATTCCTTCTTTCTGCAACACCATTTTGTTGAGGTGTTCTGGCAGCAGATAGTTGATGAAAAGTGCCATTCTGATCACAGAAATCCTTGATTACTTTGTTGACAAATTCAGTTCCTCTGTCAGATCTGATAGTTCTGACTTTCATATTTTGCTCAGTCTGAAGTTGCTTTAAGATGGATGGCAGCTTCTGAAGTGTTTCATTCTTCTTTGTCAGAAACACTGTCCATGTATATCTTGAATAATCATCAACCATGACAAGAGTGTATCTTTTTCCACCAACACTGGGGGTTTCAACTGGTCCAAATAAATCCATGTGAATCAGATTTAGAGGACAAGTGGAAAGATCTCCAGCTATGGGTTTGAATGAAGTCTTCACTTGTTTGCCCTTCTGACAAGCACTGCAGAGGGTCTCCTTCTTGTAGACAATGTCTGGCAGACCTTCTACAATATGTTCTCTTGCCAGTTTGTTGATAGTTTTGAAATTCAGATGGCTAAGCTTCTTGTGTCAGTCCCAGCTTAGCTTTGAATTATCTTTGACTATCAAGCATGTATCATCTTTTGCTGTTTGCCAGTCAACAACATAGATGTTCTTTCTCCTTTTTGCTGTAAGAACCACTTCCTTGGTTGTCTCATGCTTTACATAGCATAGGGTCTTGGTGAATTCAACTGTGTAGCCTTTGTCACAGAACTGGCTAGCACTCAGCAAGTTGAACTTCAGATCTTTGACATAAGAGACATCATCAATGCTTATCTGGTTCTTGATCAGCTTCCCTCTTCCCTTTGTTTGACCATCCTTGTCATTTCCTCCAAAAGTGACTCGGGGTCCATCGATTTTCTGGAACTCTGATAGGCAAATCTTGTCACCTGTCATGTGCCTGGAGCATCCACTATCAATAAACCATTCTTGCTCTGAGATAGCTCCAGCACACAGTTCCTGCAAAATTAAAAGGAAGATTTAGGTACCCAAGCAATGTTGGGTCCTGGGGGGTAATGCAGTCTTGGTAGTTGGTACCATTTTGGTCTCATCAACTGAAACCTTGGTGGATGGTACCCATTGTCCACCTGGTAGTCGTAGTAAACAGATGTATGATTCACTTTGGGCAGATGCTTGTGAGGATCATGCTTTCTGTTTGCATACTTCTGCATAGCCTTCTTTGTTGGAAAGAAGTCCCATATACTATCAAGATCAGAGGAGCGCTTAACTTTAGGCTTCTGAGGTTGACCAGACAACCTCTTTTGTCTATAGTTAATTTTCTCTTGATATTTGCCTCTCTGATAGTGATCTCTGATACGGTTATCATGAGGATGTCTGATGGATTTTGGCCTTGGAATTTTATTGTTCTGAAAACTTTTATTGTGGTTAGTTTTTCTGCCAGATTCATTAGTTTTCAAAATTTGTTTGGGTTTGTCCTTTAGTCTTTGGTTCTCTGATGGGACTTTCTCATGAGTAACCTTAGTACCAGAGGTACTAGCATGGCAGATGGGGCTACAGGTCTGTGAAACTATGACCTTTTTGGCTTTAGCAACTGGGGTGCTAGGCCTCACAGAAGATTCACCAGACTTGAGTTCAACATATCCAAGACCAGAGGTGAGATTATGGGTATCATCAATACTCTTTATTGAAGATTGCATCTTCAAAAGACTATTATATCTAATCTCAAGATTCTCAATTTCCCTTATTCTTTTTAGAAGAGACTCATTTTCAACTTTCAGTTTGTCTCTTTTCTTAATTAAGAGATTAAGTTTGCACTCAGTCTCTTGTCTTAAGTCAGAGGTTTCTAACTTTAGTTTACTGTTCTCCTCTTTAATCAAGGAATAAGTGTCTTGGATAGTTTTGAACTCTTCCCAAAATGATGACATTGGATCATCATTTAAGGATGTGCCTACCGAAGAAGAAGAAGTAGAATTAGCAGTTGAATATACCTCATCATCAGATTGAGCCATGAGGCAGAGGTCTTCGGTCTCTGTGTCCAGGCAGCAGAAAGCTTCATCAGAGTCAGAGTCTGAGCTGAACTCTGATTCAGAGAGTGGATCTCTCTCAGCTTGCTCTGAGACGAATGCCCTTCGTCTTCTGTGTTGATCTTCAGGTTTCTTTTCTTCTTCATGTCCTTGCTTTTTGGACACTCTAGGGAAGGGGCAGTTAGCCTTGAAGTGCTCCATTGCTTTCAGAAGATTTGATCTTCTGATGAGGTCTTCTGATGGAAGATGGACTCCTTCCATCTTTCTTCATAAATTTTCAAAACTTCCTGGCAAAGGCAGCCATATACTCGTCAGATAAAAGAGTAGAAGGATCAAAGTTGTTTACCTTGGAAGTGCTGGCTGTGAGAGCAGTGGTGGTCCTCTCATCAGGAATTTCTTCCTTCTCATCATTCATGTCAAACTCATAAGCTTTGAGATCAGAGATCAGCTTCTCTGTAGGATAGGTTTTGATGTCCTTGCTCTCCTGGACAGCAATAACCTTCATCTTCCAGACTGGGGGCAGTCCTCTGAGAATCTTCAGGTTGACTTCTTTAACTGTGAGCTCTTTCCCAAGCTCAGATATCTCACTGGTAAGGATCAGCAGTCTGGCATGCATCTCAGTTATGCATTCCTCAGGTAGAAGTTTGAAGTCATCAAACTTCTTCATAGCTATTGTCAGTTTGTTGTCTCTCTCTTGTTCATCACCAGCTCCTATGAGATCAAGTTTGTCCCATATTTCTTTGGCAGTTCGACACTTCTTGATTCTGTTGAAGTATCTGTTATCAATGGCTTTGTAGAGGATATCTTTGGCAATATTGTCAAGATTGTATTGTCTCCTCTCTTCCTTTGTCCATTCTGATCTGGCTTTCTCAATCATCTCGGGTTGAGATTTGTCAGTAGTATGCTCAGTATTCACCTTCATGAATTTGGTGAAGGGTCCTTCTTCAAGAACTTCCCACATTTCATCATGAAGTGCACAGAGGTGTGCTTTCATCCGGATCTTCCAGTCATCATACTTCTGATCTGAAAACATGAGGTGCTTTGCAAGAGAGTTATCCATAATAACAAGTAAAGAGGCTAGAAGCAAGTGGATCTTTGTTCAAAGAGTAACCTAAAAGATTACAAGAACAAGGCGGCTCTGATACCACTTGTTGGTCCCGTTTGAGTTGGTAATCAGTCTAGAAGGGGGGTGAATAGACTGATTCAAGTTTTTCAACTTTTCTCTAAGTCAGAGTTGACTTATCAGAGAGGGTCGAGTTCTGAAGATCAGAACTGGTCTTGCAGCGGATAAGAGTTCCGGGTAGCCTCAAAAATACTAAGGCAAATGCCTTTCTGATAACTCTGAAAACAAGATCTGCTGAACACAGATTCCAAATCTTAGAGTTAATCAGTTTAGTCCTAAGTGCAGAAATTAAAGTGCAGTAAAGTAAATGACACCGGGGTTTTTATAGTGGTTCAAGGAACAACGCGTTCCTCTAGCCCACTGTTCCACTAGCTTTGAGGTAAACGATTACAAAGCGTAGTCCCTAGCACTTAAGAAGTTCTGCACGCCTTCTTCAAGTCTAGTTGTCACCCGGGATGCAGTCCTGCTTCCTGATGACTGGTTCTTTCACTCAGCTTCCCGGAAGTATCACCACTTCACTACTGCAGTTACTTGGACGCCCTTCTTTGCATAAGTTGTTTTGAAAACAGAGTTTTCTCCAACTTGCTTCGTTACAAAGGATATGTAGTTGAAGTCCTTGAAGGTTGAAGAATAGGACGAACTTTGCTGTGTGTTGGGATTGGAGGATATGGAGATTTGAAT